TCCTGAGTAGCTGGGATTACAGGCACGCGCCACCACGCCCAGCTAATTTTTTGTATTTTTAGTAGAGACGGGGGTTTCACCATGTTGACCAGGATGGTCTCGATCTCTTGACCTCGTGATCCACCCGCCTCAGCCTCCCAAAGTGCTGGGATTACATGCTTGAGCCACCGCGCCCGGCCCGGCTTTCTGTTACGTGTAACCAAAACAACCAAAGAGAACGTCTGTGGACGCAGAATCTCTACACTTTCACTGGGCTGTGTCACATGATTTTTACTCAGTTTGAGCCAATGTATTTCTTTTAGTTTCAATCAGTTCAAGAGTCTGTAGATACCAATGAGGGCTTACCTCGGCCAAGTCAGGGCTCTCTCTGCTGACAAACCTGGGCCCCATGAACCTTGATAGACATCTTTGAAGTGAACACACTGGGGCTGCAGGACTTCTTCTCCTTCCCAAGTTCCAGCTTGAAAAGGGGCCACAGGACTTGGTAAAAACAGAAGTGCAAGTGCCTGGAAACTCAACACTCTTCCCATCAAAGCAGGCGACGTACAAGTTGCTCCCCGTGGAGCAGCCGCACTCAGTGGGGGGCACGCAGTCAGTGCCACTGAACACAAAGCCTGGGTCACACTGGCAGCCGTCCTGGCACGGAGTCGAGCAGCTGTCAGGCCGGGCAGGCCCGGCACAAGAGCTGGGACAGGAGGAGCCGCAGCGCTTGTAATGGCTATGGGGAGGACAGGCCAGCTCTGGAAGAAAACAGGTGGGGGTTAAATAATTGGGCAAACATTACAATTCTGGAGCATTTCCAACCAGAAGAGGACCAATGGAGCAGAGAGAGGGTTGCGGGGGCCAAGGGTAAGTCATAAAGGCAAAGGTGGCGGGGAGGTGGAGGCGTCAGCAGGATGTCGCATAATGATGGCGGTGTGATTATGATGGTGATAATCGTGGTGGTGGTGGTGAGAGTGATGGTGGTGATAGTGCTGGTGATGGTGATGGTGTTGACGGCGATGGTAACGACGGTGATGGTGGTGATGATGGCTGCGGTTCTGGTAACAATGATAATGATGGTGGTAGTGATAATGGCAATGGTAATTATAGCAGTGGTGGTGGTGATGATGGTGATGATGGTGGTGATGGTGGTGGTGGTGATGGTGGTGGTGATGGTGGTGGTGGTGATGGTGGTGGTGATGGTGGTGGTGGTGATGGTGATGGTGGTGATGGTGATGATGGTGATGGTGGTGGTGGTTGTGATGGTG